ATGCAGCTGCACTAGAAGAAACGTGCTGGTTATGCCATTTACCCTCATCTGCCAAACACCGCACAGCTCTGCGGGTGCCATAGAAGAGCTCTGTGAGCACAAAAGATAGGCAAAGCACATCAAGAGCTTTTAATCTCTTACAGCTAATCTTAGTAAATCTCAGTGACTTCTGTGCTAGCAGAGCATTAAGAGGTGACTGCGCTTACTGAAATAAACTTCAAAGAGCTACTTAGACCCGGGGAAATGAAGGGTTCAGCATTTAATCCACAAGCCAACGCACCTGCATTCTCAGTGACAGCCCCAAGTGAGTCCACGCAGATCCAGCTGTGCCTCCCGCCCGCCCCACCCAGCACAGCCACAATCCGCGAGCCCGCATAGATCCCGCCCGCCCGATCACAATGCGCAGCGTTCCATAGCGCCCGGGGCAGCGCTGAGGGCCCCGGCCGTCTCGTTTCAGCTGCTCCAACCCCGAAGGACTCTTGTGCAAAAACAGCAGCGCGATCGAGGCGGCCGACACGGAACGCGCCCACCTGAGCAGCGGCGTGAGGGAGCAGGGCACCGCAGCGCGCAGGAGGCCCTGGAGGCAGGCCGTGCCCAGCGCCCGCCTGGCGACACGGGGCCGCGTGCCGCAAGCCACGGATAACGCCGGCCGGCGAGCAGCCCTCACCTCCTTGCCCTTGACGACGCCCGCCTCGCACCACTCCACCGACACGGAGCGCTGCTGCGCGTCCACCGCCTTCACCGTCGCTTTGTGGATCAGACCTGAAAGGAGGAAAGTCGGGAAGGAGCCGCGAACGCCGCCGCCCGATCCCGCGGCAGAGACCCCCGCCCGCCCCGGAGCCTCGCTCTGCTGCTCACCGTGGCTGCGCTGGATGTTGACGACGCGCCCGGGACAAATGTGGCGGTAAAGCCGCGGATCCATGGCGCGGCGCTCCGTCCCGGCGGCGACACGCGCGGACGGGCAACGGCCGCTCGTTTAAACGCCGCGCGCCGCGGGGCCTACCGGGAAAACGCGGCGGAGGGACCACGAGTCCCAGCCTGCCTTGAGCGTGGGGGGGCCGGCAGTCGCAGCGAGGGAGGAGGGGCAGCGGCAGCGCGGTGCGGGCCGGGAAGTGCGGTTCAGAGCGAAAGGGCGGCAGCGCGCGTGCGCAAACGCCGCCGGGTGGGACGGAGGGGGACGTCGTCCGCAGCGCCGCTCTGCGCTGCGCCGGGGGGCGGTCAGCGCTATAGAGAGCAAGGAGCCTCACGGCATTCTTTGTTCTCTTACTGACCAGCAGAGGGATGGCGCCGCCGAAGTGGAGCCTCAGACTATTCCACGACACTCAGAATTTCCCAAGACATTCGTGTTTGTTCTGCTTTTCACCTACAATGGTGAGAGGCACCACAGAAGGGAAGCCACCAAAATTCCACGACACTCAGAAATGCCACAACACTCGTGCTTGTTGTATCTAAGCAGCAGTGGGATAGCGCTGCCGAACGGAAGCCTCAATCCCACGGCACTCGTGCTCGTTCTGTAGCTCAGGCAAAGTGGAGACTCCAGAAGTTCCACGACACTCGTGCTTGTTCTGTTATTAACCACAGTAGGGATAGCACTGCTAAAGGGAAGCCTGAGAAATTCCACGACACTCAAAAATTCCCACGACATTCGTGTTTGTTCTGATTTTCACCTCTGATGGTGAAAAGGCTCCACCGAAGCAAAGGTGAGAGGCACCACAGAAGGGAAGCCACCAAAATTCCACGACACTCGTGCTTGTTCTGCTTTCCACCTGCAATGGTGAGAGGCTCCACTGGAGGGAAGCCTGCAAAAATTCCACGACACTCAAAAATTCCCACGACACTCGTGTTTGTTCTGATTTTCACCTGCAATGGTGAAAAGGCTCCACCGAAGCAATGGTGAGAGGCACCACAGAAG